GTCAGCAAATTTCAGGTATCACACCTATATACAAAACACACTATCATAAACACACATTTTTTATGGGACCTGAAGTGGAAAAAAACACAATGTGAATGAAGTAACTGCATAAATTTTCTTCATTTGGTATATAGAATTGATCAAAAGCTAAATTGACAGGCACCGTAAAATCATTGCTACAAACTAATAAAACAAGTATGAAAGATCCAAAAATAAACGTAAAAAAGGTGACTGAGTGCACGAGGCTCTTGCTAAAGTGGGAACCCAAATTGGAAAGTACAATGTGATGCAAGTAAGCGGACAATTTTTCCTCATTTGGTATATATAATCATTAAATGAAGTAGAAGATGAAAAGACAACTAAACCACATGCACTAAACTGATCAAAAGCTAAATTGATGTGCACCATGATTGCTACAAACTAATAAAATGGGTATGCAGGATCAAAAAATAAACATACAAAAGAGCGACACGAAGCTCCCGCTAAAGCATGATCCTGAAGTGGAAAGCACAATGTGAACCAAGTAATAGGAAAAAAAATTCTTCATTTGGGATATAGAATTATTAGATGAAGTGTAGAAGATGAATAGATAACTAAACCACATGCACTAAACTGATCGAAAACTAAATTGAATGATTGCTGCAAACTAATAAAATAGGTAAGGAGGATCCAAAAATAACCATAAAAAACACAAAACTCCCCACTAAAGCAATCTCTCCCCCTTTCTAGATGGACTATTTCTGTGACTCAAATTGCGTCACCAGGGACACTAAAGGGAAGCTTACCGTTGGGCCAAGCCGCCCTTTGTCCAAAAATAAACATATAACTGGAAAGAAGATAACATTCTGTGAGTCCATGATACGATTTCATGTTGGGGAGAAACCAAAAATAGCCTGATTCAGATCATCCAAATCAATAAAGCACAAGAAACTTGAAAATATGATCAAACAAGTAAATCGAACTAAGAACCAATTGACGCACCAAAAAAGAAGAAATCTGTCACATAAAGAATACTAATCCTTCAACAAAGGATATTTCACAACCAAAAGGAAATGAATTTCCACTTCGATTCACAAACAATCATCATACATAACAATGAAACCCAATAATTCAGATTCAATAAATCAAAACAAACCAATTAGATACAAACCCAGAAAAGAGATTGAAGTTAAAAACAATTCTTCACAGGAATCAACCACATAAAATCTGACCTTTTAACGTGAAAAAGATCAAAGGATGATCAGATCATATCAGCTAATTCTACAACTCATCACGCAACCCAAGAGACAATAGATTTAAGTAAAAGTGAAAATTTATCATAAAAAACAGAACATAATCACAAATGAGTAACTGTTGAATCTGCACATTACATGTCATAGAACCCCAAGATTCCTCAAAACCCATGTGAAATCCGTCAATTATTCCCGATGGATTCACCAAAAACAGCAAAATTTCTGATCAAATTGAAGAGTATGGAAAGGGTTATCTGATCAAAACATATTCAAGACTCTCTGAGGTGATTGATATACATTCATCTATATATATATACACAGAGAGAGAGAGAGAGCACACGCAGAGAGAGAGAGACTCGTCGCCGGACCACCGCTACCTATCGTCGTCGCTGCCGCACCACCGCACCATCGCTAGCCTGCTCGCCATTCGTCGCTCGTCCAGAGAGAGCCGTTTGCCTTCGTAGCTCGTTTGAGAATTTTGGGGGAAAAAAATTTGTTTCAAACATTTAGGGATTTGGATCAAATGATCGAGCGGCAAGATGAAAGGAAAGAGCGGGGGCCAATTTTTTTTTTTACTTTTTGCGATGGTACGTTTTACACCGTCGCAAATGGTAACTAATTAGCTCATAAAACGACGCCGTTTTCATAAGCCTTTATTTACGACGGACATTTGTCGTCACAAATTGTCCACTATTTGCGACAGCAAACATATGCCGTCTCAAAACAATTTTTTTTGCGACGGTAAAAAACGCCGTCGCTAATACTTCCGCATTTACTACCCTATCCGCGTAGTTTTATTACTGACGGGACAACACTGTCTCTAAAACCTTTATTTGCGACGGTTTAATCTACCGTCGCAAAAGACCATTTTTTGCGACGGGAGATGCGCCGTCGCTAATGCTTCCGTGTTTTTTACTCCATTTTCTTGCAGTGTTAGCTCTCTACCTCATCTTCAATTCTTAGCACAAAAGTGAGTTTCTCTCTCTACACTCTTGAGATCTCCAACTACCATTCTCTTGATTCCTCTCTTTTCCCTTTTTGTGTTTCTCTTGAGCTTCATCAAGTTATACACTCTCACACACACCCCTCATTTTTTGACATTAACATAGCACACGTGCACTCTTCTTTGATTTCCAACACATCACTCATATACACACACACATACACAGATTTCTCAATACACCCACACCCATTTACTCCCCCAATACTAATTTAGTCCATAATTCAATATATGTCTAGGAATAATTTAATTAAACATCACTTAATCTTAATTAATTTTAATTAACACAAAATTAGTTAATTATAACTGATCTCAAATCCCACATAATGTAAATAGTCTAATTGACTTCCATTAGAGTCTAATTAAATATATTTATATTTATTAATCCAAATCAGATTTTTAATCAAACTTCCAAAAAGCTCTAAACATCAAATTGAACTTATTTCCATCATCAATTTTGGTTCCTTAAATCATTAAGGTCTTCAATTTCGGATTAAACTTCAAAATCTTCGCCAATAAATTACATGCTCAATTGTATACCTCACAAATAAATTTAATTCATAAAAACCTTAATTCCTAATTCTTAGAACTTAATTAACGCCAATTCGGACCCAATTAATCAAGTCTCAATTTCACAAATATGAATCGAATATTTAATTAAATTCTCATATAGTCCGATACTCGAAACTAAAATAATTAAATTCACCATTTGTACTTTCTTGAGCCATTTAGGCTTTCAATTTTTAATTCCAAAAATTAATCCTCAATAGAATCATATATGAATCAATCTCCATAATTTTCGTAAATCCCATATTAAATTAGAATAATTAGCAATTAAATTTCAAATCTCCTTAATTAATTAAGTACTAATCATTATATGTGGTGGGGTCATCACATCTGTGCTCGAGCGAAACAACTTATTGTGTTTGGTCGCTCGAGCGACACATTTTGCACTCGAGCGAACTGTGCATATATCAGTTCGTAAAATCACTTTCTGAGTCACTTTTTCACCTCTCTCTCTCTAAACATTTCAAAACCCTAATTTCTCTCTCACTCTCTCTCTAAAACTCACCTATTTCCCTCAAATACACCTAAATCTGTCGATCTTTTCACCTATGTGCCTTTGTTAAAAAGATAGAGCTCAACGTGGATTTCATTCTAACCAGAGCAAAGTTGGTTTTGGGCATCTTTGGATTCCCCCTCTCTCTCTCTCTCTCTCTCTCTCTCTCTCTCTCTCTCTCTCTCTCTCTCGTGTTCTAGCTTGAGGTAGGGATACTTTCCACACTTTTTATGAGTTTTAACTTAGTTATTTGCATTTCTAAGCCATGTTGAAATTTTTGAAGTTTTGGAACAATCTAGTTGAAAATTTTTGGGTGAAAATCAAAAGAGGCGTTCTTCAAATAGATTCTTGGAAATGATTTTGATGTTGGAAATAATGTTAAGTTGGGTGGAAATAGTTGATTTTGATACTTGGGGTTGATTTTGAAAAGAGTATGAATTTTGCCATAATTACCTCAAATGTAGGTTTGATATAAATAATGAAATTGATGTTGAAATTATGAAATTGGATTGGTATTGATGAGGATGGTAGAGTTGGATATGTATTATCACTCACCTCTTGAAATTTGGAAAGCGTATCTTTACGGAATACAAATTATTTGTTTAGAAATATTTGTTTTGGGCTATCTGTGGAGGATAACCATGATTGTTGTAGAAATTGTATGTGAACTATGAGGATTGAAACTATTTACTCATTCATTACATTGAGCATTATTTCACACTCATATATTGGAAATGTTACTACTTTGAGAAAATGGGTGAATCTGGGAAAGGAATTATTGTTAAATCAAATAAGTTGGCCTGTGTGTCTTGGATGAAAGTTCCTAAAATCGCACGTATACATGGGTGCCGATCTCACAGACGAAATTTTCGTGAAATGACAATAGTAGTGCTAGCATAGCCTACGTTTACTTGGGTGTCGGTTTATGGTTTCCTTCGAACGAAATTTCTTGGAAAGGTTGCATTGTTTTGAAATTTCCAAAGTGTGATTCACTACCCTATTTTCTGTTGAAATGGAAATGATTTATGAATCAAGACAATAACTTGGCATTGCATAGTTTTGGAAAAAAGTTTAAAAACATTTGGCACAAGCATTGCATATGCATTCACCTTATAACTTTGTTAAGGTTCATATATTGTGTTGGACTATTTCTACTGGGTTTTGGCTCACCTTACATGGGAAAAATATTTCAGGTGCTGATGACACGCCTCCGCTAAGGCAATAGCTTGGGAGGACTTAGAGCGACAGCTTCTTTCTGTGTATTTATTGTATTTATTTGGTACAAGCCAAGGGCTTAAATTGTATTAGACTTAAGTCTACTTTTGTTGTAACCAAGAACTATCTTGGAAAGTTGTAAGCCTTTAGAGCACCTATTTATCTGTTTTACTTTCACCTCTTATCTCTTGTTGTACATATGTTATAGATTTAGGATTAGACTTATGAATTTATATCTGTATATGTCACCCCTTGTACAAGCTATTGAGATAAATGAAAGATAATTATTTCATCACGTGTTGTTATGTAATCGATATTGTGGATGGTTTATAACATTTATTTCGGGATGTTACATTTACCCACAATCAATTGTATAAATAATTATGAGCGAGTTACATCAAATACTAAATAAAGAAAAATACTATACAAACAAATATATATATATATATATATTTATAATAATGCAACAATAATAGCTTTGAAATTTAAAATGAGATTCATTAAAATTACATGATAATAACAACTCTTTCTCTTATCAATTTGAAAATCACCGGTACCTATTTTTTCATTGCCCTTATTCAATTCTACAGCATAAATTATTCAATGCTACTGACATAAATAATTCAATTTTACATTAGAAAAAAAAACAAAAACAAAAACAAAAAAACTATCTAAATAATCATCCTAGTCCTAGAATTATTTGAAGAAACATTTGAAGGATAAAGCTAAACATAGAAAGGAAGCTAAGGTAGTCTCATACTCTAACGAAATATTTACCATGGAACAACAATGTATATCTCATGGTTCATTGAGCAATAGTGGTTTGACATCAAATGATGAAGCTACAGTGATGTCAAAACAAGCCCCTGTTGAGGTTGAAGTAGCATCCCAAGCCTCGTTGAGATCAGTTCTGTTGTAATCAAATACCTCATAATTTTGTTGAGTCGTAGTATTTCCTCGCAACATTCTAATTCCTTCCAATTCAACTGCTACATCTTTCATTGTAGGCCTCTTTTTTCCATTCAAGTTCAAGCATCTTTTTGCAAGGTGAGCAACAGCAATGATCTCTTCTCTCCAATCCTCCTTGATAATTTTTTGATCAAGAATCTCAAACAAATGATTAGCCTCCATTGATTGGACAAAAAATGTAGCTAAGCTCCTGCTTTCTTGGGATCTGTCAGAAGAGATTGCTTTTTGCCCTGTTAAAAGCTCAATAATAACAACTCCGAAGCTATAAACATCACTTTTTTCAGTAAATTGGCTTGATTGGAAGTATTCTGGGTCCAAGTAACCAAAAGTGCCTTGTACTTGTGTTGTAAAATGTGTTTGATCAATTGCAACTGATCTTGATGATCCAAAGTCTGAAACTTTTGCCCTATATTTATCATCTAAGAGTATGTTTGTTGACTTAATATCTCGATGATAGATGGGCACAGATGCAGCAGAATGTAAGTAGGAAAGAGCTCCTGCTATTTCTGTGGCAATCCGCAAGCGCATTTCCCAAGGTAATGGAAAATCCTCATTTGCATCATGAATATGTTCAAAAAGTGTTCCATTTGAGATGAACTCATAAACTACAAGGGGAACTTCTGTCTCCAGACAACACCCCAAGAGCTTAACTACATTCCTATGGTTGATTTGTGAAAGAATGACAACCTCATTAATAAATTGTCCAACATTTCCTTCATCAACTATCCTAGACCTTTTAATAGCTACAATGCTTCCATCTGACAACATTCCTTTGTAAACAGTACCTTGGCCTCCTTGGCCAAGGATACGGTCCTCATTATAATGATCAGTCGCCTTCTCTAACTCCTTCGAACAGAACAATTTAGTTTTCTCAACACTACCATCACATGAAGATGAAGACAATTTTTCTTTCAATAATAACCCACCATTCCTTTCGAAGAATTTTTCTTTTTGCTTCTTATTGTTTCTTTTTTTTTGTACTTTGTACAGCCACCAAGAAGCAATAATTAAAAGCAATACTCCAATTCCAGAGATCAAACCTACGTAATTCAAAATATAACAATATATTTGTAAGTATTAGACGATTGGTTTGATGGGTGAATCAAGAATAAATAATTAAAAGAAAAAAAAAAGATGCCATTATTACTATCAGGGGCTTTGCACATCTCTTTCAAAAAAGATAACAAGTTTGGGAAGATCAAAACTCAAAATAATGTTTTGTTGTATCTTTTTGTTGTGTCTTTACTCTTTTTATTTTAAAGGCTAACTTGGCTGGTTTTCTAGTTCGTGTCATCCTTCGCCAAAAGGGAAATTATTAAATATTTTTAGAGTATTACGTGTCTGTACTCTTTAACCAATTATTATTCAATATGTCTCCTCATATTCTCCAATCACCTAATATAATACTCTACCTATCTACTTTCTCTATCAATTATAATAATATGGAATACCATGTATCCATATTTCAAAATTACTGAATAATTATCCTTTGCAAATGTATAATTTGACAATTATGATTCTTAATGAATATAACATTTACAAAATTACAGCTACATTCTTTTTACAACATTTATTACTGCATATTAATAATGGAAATAAGCTCCATACTAAGTGATGATGTGAAAGTCTACTCCCACTATGAATATGCGGTAAGAAATATTGTAAAAAAATGTATAGCATGAATCAGAATTTGTCTTTTTCATTGATGATCTAAGCAAATGAAAATAAAAAATAAATAATTTAGATCCTCTTAATGAGTCTCGTTACATGCCCAAAAAATAGAACCGGATAGGTCTAATTGAAGTATTAACAGAGAGGAGCTACTTTTAAAAAAAAAAATTATGTGGCTCACCATGTCAAAGTCTCATGTTTTTACATTAAAATAAATAAACAAATAAATAAACACATCAAGTTCAACTTATTATTGGATTAGAAAATAGTACAAACACACCGTTCACAATTATTAGTAAAAAATATATATTTATAGTACTATTCAAGTTAAAAATTTAGACTCATTTTTTAAATTATCTCTCTTATATCTTTTCTAATTATTAACTAATCATTTGTTATACATATCATTAATTCCAAAAGTAGGTTTAAAAACAAAAACTTGTATATAATTTTTCAAAAAATATTATGTAAACTAACAAATCGTACAAATTTGTGTCCCTTCCCCAATAAAAAAATAAAAATAAAAATAAAATAATTCTTAGTCTAAGATATTGAAAATGTTTAAGATTTTCTCCTTCTAAAACTATATGTGCCCTTTACAGTTTTGTCATTCTCATTCCAACTAACTCGATACATCATTAACTAAAATATAGACATACGTTGACCCCATATAAATATAAGAAAATATTTTTTTTTTATTATTAGTATTTTATTATCATTTTCATTTTATATTTTTTGTGAGTTCTATTGGTTTTATTGCAGTGATATATATAATATTGAAATTATTTTGAAATATTGATAATTAATTTTTTTACCACACTAAAATTGTGTGTTTCAAACTGATTTAACCTAATAATTTGTCTTAATATTTATCTCTTGATCAAAATCATGTGGTAATTATTAAGTAATTGTAGAGTATAATGTGACTTTACCTATGTGATGCTCTAAACCAATCATGTAACAGGAAACTCTATAATAAGACATGTTGACTCATTTTTTAAGTAGTCGAGTGACAAAAAATGACTCATTTACTTTGTGTTGCAAATTTTTATTGGTTGGTGTATCACTTAGACAACGTTACATGCTACTTTAGGAGTATTTAATAATTTTCATGTGTTAAATAAATTTATAAGGTTTATTAGTTTGTATATTATTATTGAATTAGTAATTCTGATATTGTTTCAAGTTACTTAAGTATAAAAGGATGTGGATCCAATTGGGGAGGTAGTTTACAAGTAAATTCTTCCAAATTCATTATGTAATTCTGATATTGTTTCAAATGCATTACCAATCACAATCTGAAGACTCACCCAAAAAAATCACAATCTGAAGCACAAGAACTCGATTAGCATTGCAACGTGTTCCATCTGTGTTGCCATCACCGTGGTATCCCTTGGGGCAAGAGCACATATAATTCCCAGGCGTGTTTAAACATTTGCTTTCCTCTACACACTGGTTGAGATTTGGATCTGCACACTCATCAATGTCTGCAAAACAATCAAAACAGAGGAGGGAGGGCTCAATCATGAAATTAAAGCATCACAAAAATAATATATATAGAATCAAAAGCAATTGAATCCGAACATGATGAATATGAAGCTAGCTAAATGGATACTACTAACCTTTGCAACCATCTGAGAGGTACGCGTTCCCTTCGTAACCCTTGGAACACTTGCAGATATACCCATTACCAATTTCTGCCTCATAACAATCACTATTATCTCCACATGCATAACTTGTCAAATTTCTCTTAGCTTCATGGCATGTCTTATTATCCCCTATTCCCCAATCAAGCACCAACGGCACCTTGGTTTCTTTAAAATCTTGAAGGTAAGTTGTGGAGAACTTAAACGCAGCTTCTTCAACAACAAAGGCATAGCTGCACGGATTGAAGTCCAATACATCCGTATGATTGTTGAAGCTATGCGCATCAATTTTGATATGGCTGAGTTGTTTTGGGATGGAGGTCTGGCAGCAACCAATTCCAGAGCAAGATCCATCATCAGGAACGTAGGAGATGCTCTTACAACTTGACACACACCCAGTTGTAAAAACGAAACTCTCGTTTTCTAAAATATGGAGAACCCCATATGTGTCACAACCAATAGAAGTGAACTTGTTCTTGGTACTAGATATGGAGAAATTGGTGGCGACGAGCCATCCATAAAAGTTGCTCTGTAACGGTGTACCTAACCCGTCATAACAATTACGAGATATGTTATTCATGATGCGTAACTCACCCTCCTCAAGCGATATATTTGAAATATTGATATCGCTATGCCGTAAATATGGCTGGGAATCACTACAATTAATGAAGAAATCTTCGCTGCGATAACAATTCTCTTTCACGCCGAATGGGTATGGGATGCTTAAATTCCCGCAACGATTCATGCAGTCAAGATTCTTCAAATCTGCTTCTGTTGGTGGTGCTGCAATTGTTGCTGCTGATAATGACAATATCACCACCACTACTACTTGTACTAGTACTAGCATCAAGATGATGGGTTGTAGTTGCAATTGCATTCCTTGCGAGGAAGCCATGGCTAGCTTGCCTCTTGCAAAAATGCTTTTCTGTATTCAAAATTCATATATAATTGTCAATTGTGAAACATTTCTAGGCAATCACGAAGAAAAAGTATTCCGAGTCGATTAAAGTAAATCAGCGAAAAATAGACAACATAACTTATTGGAATGATTTGCAACTAGTCTAACAGCTGTATGGATGGTATTCACCCTAATAAAAAATTAAAAAAATCAAATTGACTTTGCCGTTATATCAATTTAGTCGTGTACTTCCTATTGTATTAATTTTTTCCTATAATATTTTATATTATGTTGATTTAGTTTAGTTGATAAACATTCGCTGATAAATTAGAAAAAAAATATATATATATCCAATTGAATCAGACATCAATTTCTCAATAACTTTTTAAAAAGTTTATATATGTCGATTAATTTCAATTAAATTTCTAAAGAGATCTTATTAATTGGATTAAATTGACGCAATATAAAATATTTAAAGGTAAAATTGATACTCAGTCTCTGTCTGGTTGATTTTTCATAATTTGTTTGTGTAATTTTTTTCAAAAAAATTACATACTAGTTTTCACAGAAATAAACACAAAACAATTATTTTTAAATTTTTTAAAATTATTTTCATCCCAAAAAAAGAGAAAATTATATGAAAATAATGAGTTTTTAATTAAATTTTTTTTTTCCTTTTACCAAACTAGTTTTTCTTATTTTTTATTTTTTTTATTTTTAAATTCTCAAAACTTAACCGAAAAGAGCTTGTTCATGATACCAAACGCTAATCAAAGCATACAACTTCAAAAGGCAAATCATGCTCTTATAATAGAGCAAAAAGTTTTCAGAAACCAAAAAATGATAGTACTAGAGAGAGATCATGCAATACAACCAAAACCAAATCAAACCCACGAAGATGTCACGCAAATGGGACGCAAACACCAGAATTGGATCAATTGAATAGTATAGATACCTACATCAGAGAAGGAAATAATGAAAAAAAAAACTTTAAAACAGTTTTCTTGCCTTGGAGCAGTCCCCTCCCCACTTTTGCTTTTGTTGGTTGTAGAAAGCTTGATTTTGAAACAGTTATATATATAGGGATTTACTGTTTTGTTTTGCAAGACTACTCTGTTTGTTTAGTACCCTCTCTTGTATTTGTCCTTAGGACTGTTTTGGTAACTTACAATAATAGCAAAAAAAAAATTAAAAGTTAAATAACTGTACAAAAAAAATGAAAAATTCTTTTTTTTTTTTCCTATATTTTTTTGTACATTTTTTTTTTGTAAAAAATTGAAAAATCATTCCAAATATTTTTCAAAAACAACCTAATTCTATTGGCACATTCCAAAGAGTTTTAGTATACACTATTTGTGTTGTTTTAATACATAAATAAAAATAAATTGCTCATTTATACATTATGTTCAAAAGTGTATATTTGAACCGCTACTTTTTGTTTAGAAATTTATATCTGAATATTTGACTTTTGTTTTGAAATTTATATTTGAGCCGTATAAATAATATATATTGAGTTTTTTTGTAGTATATGCTAATAGAATTTTCTTATGTCTTCTTAATTTGTTCTACTTCGTCTATATTTACTTCCTTCACAAGATAGATTGGCTTTTATTTACGCTATTATTCTAACTAAAAAATTAGACTCATTTTTCAAAATCAATGATATAGAAGTCCATTAAAGACAACTCTTTTTTATATATTATTTGATTATCAGCCAATTATCTTTTTTACACGTCACTAAATTTGGAAAACTGGTCTAAAAAATAAAACTTTTGTAAAAAACATCCGATTTAGCGTTGATCCTCTCATTGATGTTACAATAGCTGACTCAGTCATTTGGGAGAACAGTATTATTGATGTGTGTGGAATTAAATTCTACTGTAATTGAATTTGGAATCCGGTGGTGCATGCATGAATGAATGTTTATTAGTCCAACTTGAAGAGTCTTGATAGCAATAGTCGATTGTCAATTCTCAGCAAGACTAATTCTAACTCATGAATTGTCTGAATTTTGTATGCCAATGCTCCCAATTTCATTTATTATATTTGTATAATTATTCAGTAAATCTTATTTACGTATTGCTCCAAACTAATGAGCTAGAAAAAAAAAACCGGCTATATTCACACAATTTTTTCCCCTCAAATCCCCTCAAATGAGACTCTTACCGTTAAGGGTCGGAAAAAAATATGTGAATGAATCATTAATCTAAAACATATTGATTCATATTTATTATGTAATTCAAAAATAAAGAATGACACAATTACTAGAGAATTTTATTATATACACCACCATACCATATACACCCTTAGTTACCAATTTTCTTCTTCAATTATTAGTTACGCTATTTTCTTCTTTAATTATAATTAAATTTCTTCTGTAGTTATGACATTATTTTGAGATTTTAGTTTTTTTTTGTTTTTTTTATTATGATTTTTTTTATTTTTTTAGTTATGACTCAGAAAGTTTAAAATTATACATTTTTCTTCTACAGTTATAAAATATATATGATACACACTTTCATACCACAATCTTTCCCCACAATTACTATGCATGGCAATTTCTCTTCTTTTTTTTTTATTTTTTATCAAACAATAGGAAAGTAATTACAAATATAAGAATATTTAGATTATCAAATAAACTATTAGTCCATAGTAATTAGAAAGTCAATAAAACCTAATACAACCAATATACCAACCTACCAAGCCCAAGCCCAAGCCCAAGTCCAAGTCCAAGCCCAACGACCAAATAAATCATCACCACAATAATCCCATAATGGGAGAGAAATAAATAACCACCACAAAGGATAAGAGTTGAACCTAAAACCTCATACTACAAAAGGTGTGGCCAAATGCCTTGGGTGCATTGTACTTTGTCATTTACTGAAAATATTACATAAATAAAATTACATGATCCTAATGGATTCATATTCTCTATGGAGAAACTCTGTCTCCATCCAGATGTGTAGAACTTTCCACGAAAATGGCCACTTTCCTTGGAAAGGAATTGAATGGATGAGATCAAGCCACGATAGCCAAAGGATTTGAAACAACAACAATGTTGTCTATTCAAAAGCCAATCTATTTTTATCTTAATGACGTGGTTTTTGCTCCTTGTCTCTCCATTTCCCGTTCTTACTGCGAATAAGGAAAAGTGGTCTCCAATCGATTGTGAAGCTCAGCTCACATGTAATAAATAAAATAAAAATGGGAACAATGATTTTTTAAAAAATATGAAATTATGATTTAAGAAAAAAATGAAGAGCATTTTTGTAAAATATGAGTTATAGTGTGTACCTTAAAAAAAATTCACACCATACATACCCTAATGTAACCATAACATTCTATAACAACCATTTTATAAAAAAAAAAAAAATTCACACCATACTGGAGAAATTATAGCATGCAATTTTAAAAGAGTACATGGCAAAAAAGTTAATATAATTTTTTGTAATAAAAATTATGAATGTTTGTGGAGTTGCAAATATGTAAATTTTAACCAATTATAAATCGTCACGTATTATCAAAACTTACAAAATATTAAAAAATTATTTTAATAATACTTTTTTAAATCGTTATACCATTTCTTTAACATCATTGTTCTATTTTTTTATTACATGTGAGCTGGGCCCCACTGTAGATTTGGAAAAGTGAGTTATATTGGTTTGTTTTGGGACGTTGGTTAAAAATTAATTTTTTTTATTTTTTTTCAAAAAAAAATAAAATAATGAGGTGATGTGATTCAAAATAGGTTAAAAGTAAAAAATTAACTTTTAACCAAATTCCTAAATTAAGCCATTATTAAGATTTAAGAGCAGTAACAAGAAATAAAACTACGCTAAGACGAAAAGGGTATTGTTAAGGTAAAAATAGACAACCTCTTAATACCACAACGTTCAATTTATTGTTTCAAATCCTTCAAATGCCCTTTTCAATGAAGTGGCATGTTTTGGTGGAAAGTTCCACACGATTTGGAGCTAAATTTAAGAGGGAATCACATCTTAGTGAAACAGAAATTTTTTATTTTATTCTCGACTAGCATTGCAACGTGTTCCATCTGTTTTGCCATCACCGTGATATCTCTTGGGGCAAGAGCACGTATAATTCCCTCGTGTGTTTAGGCATTTGCTTTCCGCTACACACTGGTTGAGATTTAGATCTGCACACTCATCTATATCTGCAAAACAATCAAAACAGAGGAGGGAGGGCTCAATCATGAAATTAAAGCATCACAAAAACAATATATATAGAATCAAAAGCAATTGAATCCGAACATGATGAATATGAAGCTAGCTAAATGGATACTACTAACCTTTGCAACCATCTGAGAGGTACGCGTTCCCTTCGTAACCCTTGGAACACTTGCAGATATACCCATTACCAATTTCTGCCCCATAACAATCACTATTATCTCCACATGCATAACTTGTCAAATCTCTCTTAGCTTCATGGCATGTCTTATTATCCCCTATTCCCCAATCAAGCACCAACGGCACCTTGGTTTCTTTAAAATCTTGAAGGTAAGTTGTGGAGAAATTAAACGCAGCTTCTTCAACAACAAAGGCATAGCTGCACGGATTGAAGTCCAATACATCCGTATGATTGTTGAAGCTATGCGCATCAATTTCGATATGGCTGAGTTGTTTTGGGATGGAGGTCTGGCAGCAACCAATTCCAGAGCAAGATCCATCATCAGAAACGTAGGAGATGCTCATACAACTTGACACACACCCAGTTGTAAAAACGAAACTCTCGTTTTCTAAAATATGGAGAACCCCATATGTGTCACAACCAATAGAAGTGAACTTGTTCTTGGTACTAGATATGGAGAAATTGGTGGCGACGAGCCATCCATAAAAGTTGCTCTGTAACGGTGTACCTAACCCGTCATAACAATTACGAGATATGTTATTCATGATGCGTAACTCACCCTCCTCAAGCGATATATTTGAAATATTGATATCGCTATGCCGTAAATATGGCTGGGAATCACTACAATTAATGAAGAAATCTTCGCTGCGATAACAATTCTCTTTCACGCCGAATGGGTATGGGATGCTTAAATTCCCGCAACGATTCATGCAGTCAAGATTCTTCAAATCTGCTTCTGTTGGTGGTGCTGCAATTGTTGCTGCTGATAATGACAATATCACCACCACTACTACTTGTACTAGTACTAGCATCAAGATGATGGGTTGTAGTTGCAATTGCATTCCTTGCGAGGAAGCCATGGCTAGCTTGCCTCTTGCAAAAATGCTTTTCTGTATTCAAAATTCATATATAATTGTCAATTGTAAAACATATCTAAGCAATCACGAAGAAAAAGTATTCCGAGTCGATTAAAGTAAATCAGTGAAAAATAGACTACATAACTTATTGGAATGATTTGCAACTAGTCTAACAGCTGTATGGATGGTATTCACCCTAATAAAAAATTAAAAAAATCAAATTGACTTTGCCGTTATATCAATTTAGTCTTGTACTTCCTATTGTATTAATTTTTTCCTATAATATTTTATATTATGTTGATTTAGTTTAGTTGATAAACATTCGCTGATAAATTAGAAAAAAAATATATATATATCCAATTGAATCAGACATCAATTTCTCAATAACTTTTTAAAAAGTTTATATATGTCGATTAATTTCAATTAAATTTCTAAAGAGATCTTATTAATTGGATTAAATTGACGCAATATAAAATATTTAAAGGTAAAATTGATACTCAGTCTCTGTCTGGTTGATTTTTCATAATTTGTTTGTGTAATTTTTTTCAAAAAAATTACATACTAGTTTTCACAGAAATAAACACAAAACAATTATTTTTAAAATTTTTAAAATTATTTTCATCCCAAAAAAAGAGAAAATTATATGAAAATAATGAGTTTTTAATTAAATTTTTTTTTTCCTTTTACCAAACTAGTTTTTCTTATTTTTTATTTTTTTTATTTTTAAATTCTCAAAACTTAACCGAAAAGAGCTTGTTCATGATACCAAACGCTAATCAAAGCATACAACTTCAAAAGGCAAATCATACTCTTATAATAGAGCAAAAAGTTTTCTGAAACCAAAAAATGATAGTACTAGAGAGAGATCATGCAATGCAACCAAAACCAAATCAAACCCACGAAGATGTCACGCAAATGGGATACAAACAGAATTGGATCAATTGAATAGTATATTTTTTTGTACATTTTTTTTTTTGTAAAAAATTGAAAAATCATTCCAAATATTTTTCAAAAACAACCTAATTCTATTGGCACATTCCAAAGAGTTTTAGTATACACTATTTGTGTTGTTTTAATACATAAATAAAAATAAATTGCTCATTTATACATTATGTTCAAAAGTTTATATTTGAACAACTACTTTTTATTTAAAAATTTATATCTGAACATTTGACTTTTGTTATGAAATTTATATTTGAGCCGTATAAATAATATATATTGAGATTTTTTGTAGTATATGCTAATAGAATTTTCTTATGTCTTCTTAATTTGTTCTACTTCGTCTATATTTACTTCCTTCACAAGATAGATTGGCTTTTATTTGTGCTATTATTCTAACTTAAAAATTAGACTCATTTTTCAAAATCAATGATATAGAAGTCCATTAAAGACAACTCTTTTTTATATATTATTTGATTATCAGCCAATTATCTTTTTTACACGTCACTAAATTTGGAAAATTGGTCTAAAAAATAAAACTTTCGTAAAAAACATCCGATTTAGCGTTGATCCTCTCATTGATGTTACAATAGCTGACTCAGTCATTTGGGAGAACAGTATTATTGATGTGTGTGGAATTAAATTCTACTGTAATTGAATTTGGAATCCGGTGGTGCATGCATGAATGAATGTTTATTAGTCCAACTTGAAGAGTCTTGATAGCAATAGTCGATTGCCAATTCTCAGCAAGACTAATTCTAACTCATGAATTGTCTGAATTTTGTATGCCAATGCTCCCAATTTCATTTATTATATTTGTATAATTATTCAGTAAATCTTATTTACGTATTGCTCCAAACTAATGAGCTAGAAAAAAAAAAAACCGGCTACATTCACAATATTTTTTCCCCTCAAATCCCCTCAAATGAGACTCTTACCGTTAAGTGTCGGAAAAAAATATGTGAATGAATCATTAATCTAAAACATATTGATTCATATTTATTATGTAATTCAAAAATAAAGAATGACACAATTACTAGAGAATTTTATTATATACACCACCATACCATATACACCCTTAGTTACCAATTTTCTTCTTCAATTATTAGTTAAGCTATTTTCTTCTTTAGTTATAATTAAATTTCTTCTGCAGTTATGACATTATTTTGAGATTTTAGTTTTTTTTTTTGTTTTTTTTATTATGATTTTTTTTTTTTTAGTTATGACTCAGAGAGTTTAAAATTATACATTTTTCTTCTGCAATTATAAAATATATATGATACACACTTTCATACCACAATCTTTCCCCACAATTACTATGCATGGCAATTTCTCTTCTTTTTTTATTTTTTTATCAAACAATAGGAAAGTAATTACAAATATAAGAATATTTAGATTATCAAATAAACTATTAGTCCATAGTAATTAGAAAGGCAATAAAACCTAATACAACCAATATACCAGCCTACCAAGCCCAAGCCCAACGACCAAATAAATCATCACCACAATAATCCCATAATGGGAGAGAAATAAATAACCACCACAAAGGATAAGAGTTGAACCTGAAACCTCATACTACAAAAGGTGTGGCCAAATGCCTTGAGTGCATTGTAATTTGTCATTTACTGAAAATATTACATAAATAAAATTACATGATCCTAATGGATTCATATTCTCTATGGAGAAACTCTGTCTCCATCCAGATGTGTAGAACTTTCCACGAAAATGGCCACTTTCATTGGAAAGGAATTGAATGGATGAGATCAAGCCACGATAGCCAAAGGATTTGAAACAACAACAATGTTGTCTATTCAAAAGCCAATCGATTTTTATCTTAATGACGTGGTTTTTGCTCCTTGTCTCTCCATTTCCCGTTCTTACCGCGAATAAGGAAAAGTGGTCTCCAATCGATTGTGAAGCTCAACTCACATGTAATAAATAAAATAAAAATGGGAACAATGATTTTTTAAAAAATATGAAATTATGATTTAAGATAAAAATGAAGAGCATTTTTGTAAAATATGAGTTATAGTGTGTACCTTAAAAAAAATTCACACCATACATACCCCAATGTAACCATAACATTCTATAACAAACATTTTATATAAAAAAAAAAAAATTCACACCATACATGAGAAATTATAGCATGCAATTTTAAAAGAGTACATGGCAAAAAAGTTAGTATAATTTTTTGTAATAAAAATTATGAATGTCAAGTATGTAAATTTTAACCAATTACAAATTGTCACGTATTATGAAAACTTACAAAATATTAAAAAATTATTTTAATAATACTTTTTTAAATCGTTATACCATTTCTTTAACATCATTGCTCTATTTTTTTATTACATGTGAGCTGGGCCCCACTGTAGATTTGGAAAAGTGAGTTATATTGGTTTGTTTTGGGACGTTGGTTAAAAATTAATTTTTTTTATTTTTTTTCAAAAAAAAATAAAATAATGAGGTGATGTGATTCAAAATAAGTTAAAAGTAAAAAATTAACTTTTAACCAAATTCCTAAATTAAGCCATTATTAAGATTTAAGAGCAGTAACAAGAAATAAAACTACGTTAAGACGAAAAGGGTATCGTTAAGATAAAAATAGACAACCTCTTAAAACCACAACGTTCAATTTATTGTTTCAAATCCTTCAATTGCCCTTTTCAATGAAGTGGCATGTTTTGGTGGAAAGTTCCACACGATTTGGAGCTAAATTTAAGAGGGAATCACATCTTAGTGAAACAGAAATTTTTTATTTTATTTTATATAAATATGAAGAGGTATAAGTTATGGAAGAAATAGTTTTGGAAAAATAGATTTTTTCTTAATTTTGGTCTATTTTTTAGGTGAGACTCACGCGCCAAAGTTAGCGGGTCTAAGTGGTAACGCGTTATATGCCGACGTTGTGATTCAAATAGTATATTTGGTTGCTCAAAACCATTATCAGGTAAATGAAAAATTGAAGTCAAAGTGGGTTCCATGGAAATGAAGTTTTTGGTGGAAATTTCTTAAATGTTTGAATTAAAGGCTTGTCCCAAATTGGTTTGGTAGGAAAACTTTTATGGGTTTATAAGGCTTAAGTTTGCAATTTGGGGAGGGCCCTAAGGGGCACCCCAAGTTTGTAGAAGGGAAAGGCTATGGGTAAAGTAGGCTAGACCCATTGGACCCAAAAATAAACACACGCGTCGCTGTCGCCGCCGTCGTCCAGTCAATTGGGCGCAGGTGCGTGGTGTGGCGTTGGATTGGGCTTGTTCAGCTCAATGCTTATCTTTTTGGGGAAAAAACTGTTTGAATTTTATTTTTCCTAAAATTAAAATTCTTACTTTTTTTCAGAATTTAAAATTCAAAATTAATTCCAAAATTCTGCCCGATGTTTTTCTCCATCGAACAGGTTTTTATCTGTTTGAATTTAAACAGAACAAATTCAGTATCTGTTCAAATTCAAACCCAAACAGTGTCTTACCTGTTCATTCAAACCGAACAGGTCTTGTACCTGTTTAAACAGGTTTGCTACCTATTCATTCAAATCTAAACAACCATTTTTCCATCTGTAAATATAAGCAATCCCTCATTTGGATTTTGCACTCTAATTTTAGTTCTTGTTTCCTGCTATTGTTCTCTATATTTTACTGCATTATTTTCTTGTGAGAAAGAATGTAAACACAAAATGTGTTCGTTGTGCGAATAATTTGTAGTGCTGCTATTATTCGTAGTTGATCATTTAATATGGGAGGTAGATGTCCACAATCTGAAAGCACCGTGGAGATGATGAATTTGTCTTAAGGACACAGTTAAATACTGGACTTGATCAGAATTTTGTTCAATAAATATATAAAGTTAGTAATTAATTTACTTTTTATTTTATTTATTTATTTTTACCAGATTCTGATTTTGTTTTTGTTTTTGTAACAAAATAATAATCTATTGCTTTATTTTATTTTCTTTACTGGTTTGATTTTTGTAATCAAATAGTCTCTCTCCTTTCTTTATTTCTTTTGTTTGTTGTTAAGTACACAAACATTATTTATTCTTAATACAGATTATTTTTTGGTGTCTTCATTGTATTTATTTTCTGTGCTCTTTACAAAGTGATATTCTGGTTAGAAAATACAAATAG